AAAAAAATGAAGTTCAGAGCTAGACTGAATGAAGGCATCTGCAAATGCAATCTCAGCTAGATTTCTTTAATGGGCTTGAAAAGAGATATGTGCTGCTTACTTCTATATAAATGTGAAAGAATAGCTCAATCTCAAATTGGTTTCATTAAATTTTTAAGAATTTTTTCAACAAGAATCTGTTTTCAGATGATATGGTAATCGATGGCAAGATCTCTGTCGACGAATGGTGCGATTGCTTCTCGTTCGCTGATGATCTTCGCCATGAGCCTCCATGCCATAAGGCAAAACACGAAGTGGATCCTCATATGGCCGGTAAGTTTTTTTGATTCCAGGCGAACATATTTAATTGATTGTATCAACGAAGGAATTAATTAACGAGCATGTGCTTGGTGTTGTCACACAAAACACACCAGATCCAAAAAAATAGTTTAAATTATTTACAAAATGCAGCTGGTGCATGTTTTGTCCTTTCCCAATATACGTAATTTTCTATGCCTCTATTTATCAAAAAAAAGTTTTCCTCATTAATTTGTCCCTCTCCCCTAATGTCAGCTTTTTCTAAGCTACCGTAACCACTATTCAATTTGAATCAAATCGTTTTCTTTTCTACTTTCGTACAGTGCATTGTCATAGGTGGTGAACTTTGTTTACGGGTTTACGGTCATCCCGGCAATGTCGTGAATTTTACGAGGATTTAATCGCGGATTGGCGATTAACATGACAGTCGGGCGAGCATCGATGAGAGATGGACTGACATCGCGCACGTACAGCTCCAAACTACAACATGGGACCGTGTTGCGACATTTTCAATGTTTGAAAGGGGGAAAAAAGTAAGAAGCAATGAAGATCTTGAACCTAAAAAAATTAATCTCAAGATAAGTTTAGAAGAGAAAAGAAGATGTATGGCAGCGAAAGAGCCTTTTATAACAATGATAATAGATAGGAAAAATTACATCTATGTACTGAGTAATTTTCTTATTTGAAAGCACTTTGAACCAGAATTTAGCTAATCATAATTCCAAGGTTATTTTCGAAGGATAAGATGTTGATATGAAATAAATGAAAATAAAAAAGTTTCAATTTTTGAACTTAGAATAGAAGAAAGCATTTTTTCCTTAGAATTAAAGACTGACAGCAACACTAGCCAAGAATAGAAGATTTAGACATTTTGTTTGTAGCAATTATATGAAAAGTCAGACGAGCAATAATTACGAAATCTGCGCTATATCTGGCACTTTATGATAGATTACTTCAGAGTTACTGTAGCTGGTTAAAACTGGATTTGGTCTTATGACAAGAAAAGTGAAAGAGTTTTATAGACAAAGCTTTTGCCTAAATAAATATGTACTGGTTTGTTATTGATGGTTGAGTGTAATGCGGTAGGTTTCGAAGTAAAATAGTTTTAACCATTCATAGTAAACTTAACAATATGCTTATTCCAGAAATAAGGCAATTTACTTACTTACTGAGATACTTAGATGACCTGTCTTCACTCGTCGTGCAGGCCACAGCATTGTTTCCATCCGTTTCTGTCTCTC